CGTGTTTCACCAACCATGTTACTATCTTCAGCATGATGATAATCTATTTTCACTATTTTCAATTTTTTAACCCCGAATTCAAGTAAGATCCAAATACTGAGTGTTTTTTTTAACTAAAATGCTCGCTAAAATTCAGTGGTGATTTCAATAAAATAAAAAAATTCAAATATGTAATTAATATCAACATTTCCCTTCAAAGATGCAGATAAGACAGAATGCTATTAAACGAATCTTAATATAGTTAAGCCTTTTAATTTCACTTTCATTGGATAATAAAACAATTAATTCTATATTATAACAATTAATTTCTTATCAATTAACCTGTATAAATGTCAATCAATTTTGAACCCTCAAACGCGACTTTTCAATTTTAAATATTAGTTAAATAATTTTTTAACATTTTAATTAATCTTAAAATTGGTAGAGCCAAAATTACCAAAAATATTAAGATGCTATTACATCTTTCAATTCAAACGTGATAAAAATAAAGACTTTACAATTTGATTTAAATCAGACGACTAAAATACCAACCTTTTTTTTCAAAGATGGCACGTGTTTTGTCAACCAAGAGGACCAAAAAGCATGACAACTTGAAGATTGTTGTTTTGTTTTTGATGCAATTTTATGTGAAAACTAAACTAATCAATTAATGAAATACTTAAAAAAATATTTACAAAAATATCAGCGGTTTATGAGTTGAAAATGTAAATGCCGAATCCGTAATCTTTCATGGTCATTTAATTTTTTATTCATTGTCTTCGAATTGAGATATCAACAATATATTTTTAATTAATTTTCAATCAGAAAAATATTCATAGGCGTCGAATGTAGGATGTCCAATATAGTTAACAAAGTTTTTATCTTTGAATTCAATAAGTTCAATGTGATTGTGAAAGTAGCAAAATTTTCTATTACAATATCAAATAAACTAACAATAATTCTAGAATTTTCCATTTTATGAATTTTATTATTTACAAAAAAGGTTATTTTGAAACAATGGATTATCTGTCTCGAGATGACAGCATATTATGTACCCATTCATGTAACATAATTTTGTCTCACCCACATTTACGACCATCATAAACATGAAAAAAGAGCCCATTTGCCTTAATCCATCTCGTATTATACAATTTCTTGTAAGAAAACCGCAATTCGGTCCAATTTTAGACCGTCTGCTCTAAATTTAACCACTCCCTAAAAAAAGAGCTTTATTCGAATCGATATTTTGAAAACGCCAGGAATAGATATTTTAGCCACAATTCTCGACAAGTAGGTCAAACAGCCACTACTTGTAATTTTTAAAAGTTTTATGAAAAATTCAATTATTATTGGCGTGTGGCATCAATTTCTTTTTTTAGTATTTGTTTTTGTCTCTTGTTGATAATTGAATTGGTTAACAAGGATTTTGGCATGAGTGATTCCACGACAAAAACCACAAAGGTCATTGACTCGACCAAAACAAAAATAAGATTGCAACAACTGCACATTGTGTGCGTTTGTTTCGTCGTCGGACAAAATTACCCTTGTAGAAAATCGGTTTTTTATCAGAAAACACAGAGGACTTTGAGGTATGGAACAGATTAGTCTGAATTGAGTTCTAGCACAGCTAGCTCGCAAATTAAACTAAAATCGCTACCCACAAAAAATTCCAACGGAAAAGTTCCATCGCCTATGCGCAAAGTCAATCCTTGGCTAAAAAACTTTTTCGCTTATTTCTGGTGTCTTCGCCTTGCCAAATACAAGCATCCTGCTAGAATGTTATCGGGTTTTCTCAGACCTTCCCGAGGCTAGTTGTGTAACAAATACACTGTATGTGAGCCCCAAATGCGTGATTGCCCCATACCTCGAGTCAACCCCGGTCAAAATCATCACTTAAAAAACCAAAACGGAGGTTTTTATCAGGCATCGATCGTCGAGTCAACAAACGGGTCTGTGACAGATTAGTCTGAATTGAGTTCTAGTAAACCACTAGCCCGCAAATTGAACTAAAATCGCCGGCCACGAGAAATTCCAACGACGAAGCTCCACCACCTATCGTTTCCGAGTCCTGGGCTTTGAAACCCCGTCGCAGATTTCTGGTGTTCTCGCCTTGCAAAATGCAAGCGCCCTGCTGGGGCGTTCAAGACGCATCTCAGACCTTCCCGGGGCTTAAAGTGTAACAAGTACACGGCAAGTGAGCCCCAAATGCGAGATTGTCACAGACCCTTGTGATCTAAAATGATCGTAAAGTCATCATTTAAAAACCTCAATCTAATTTTGACAAGTTTATGGCGTGTAGAAATTCGCCAAGACTTACGACACAACTCGACACGATTATACCATATAAGGAAACCTAAACCTGCATAAAACATACTTAAAAATATCAAGTGAAGACAAAAGGATTGCATCAATGGGCTCGGCCGCTGTATCTCGTGCAAATTAAATTCAACAAAAACGATACGAACCAGTCGACTGATAAATTGAATGCCCACATTATTCATTACCGACGAGAAAGAACGATTAACTCTGTCTGCTCTCGCAAATTCAGTTTGACTCATCCTTTTTATTTAATTACATACTTATCGGATTTTTTCAAATAACACACTTTTTCAACACTATGATAACAATCATCGACATTGTTGTCGTATTTGCCCAATGCCGAGCTATTTATCTAAGATAAAGCAACTGAGAAATATTCCGATAAATGTTAAAAACGTGAAACTACACCCTGGTAATTTCTTGAAATAACTATGACATAAGTAGGGAGGGTAACGCCGAGTATATTCACCTTCTAATTGATCAACAGCAAGTTCGTAACGACCCAGAAATAACATCAAAGTAATGGAACAAATCATAATATTTACAATTTACTTAATATCGGAACAATAAACCTTTTCCTTTTAACAATAGAAAGCCGCTTGACAAATGAAAAATTTCACACAAAACATACAAAATCAATTGTATGACGCTGCTTTACGTAAGACAAAAAATATCAATAATTGCCCCACTTGATACATTTCAAATTTAGTGGAGCCTTATGTTTTGAAGGTCTTCTATTAATAATAATCTTAAAATTCGAACCAAAAATAAACATTCATAATCGACAATTAAAATAAAGCAAACAGTTTTTTATTATTACATAATTACTAGACAATAGTTATCCGACAAGCAATTAAATTAAGCTGTAAAAACTAGACCATTATTACACCGCTTTGTTTTAGTTAAATGTCATTAAAAGCAGAAATAGTTCAACATAGGTCTACCCTATTTACCTAAATTTGTAACAATGAAAACAAGTCAGTTGTGCGAATCAGACAACGGTTTCACATTTTAAACGAATTTTCTTGTAATCACAATTCCATGCAGTGTTGGCTAGAATTTTAAGTATAAACATTTCTTTTAGCAATAGTATACAATTCTAAATTATTTGATTTACTTCAATTCAATCAATTTAAAAAAAAATCAAAAGAATTCTTGACAATTTGGTCATTATTGGCCAACTTAAGCTTGACTGTTCAAAATAATTCATTTATGTATGTAGCTTTTAAAAGAAGAAATTTTCGTTGAAGAATAACAAAGCCAGTAATAGAATTTTCAATGAATGAGTGTAATTTTTATAGTCGTTACAATCCCGTCTTTTTGTCCGACTGGCCATTCTAAACATGTCTGAAATTGTTCTCAAATTAGAAAATAACGATCGTTCCCAAAATCCTCCTTGGTGGAACAGTAAAAATAAAAACACTCATTGAAGATGATCATCATTACGGTTGACACCTACTTGCTCATTTTACGGCGATTTATTTAGAATAATATCCAAGTAAAGTTGTTACGTGACTCATGTTAAGTACAAGCCATAATTTTACATGAAGTCATAAATTGTGTCACAACATTGGGTACCTACATCATTTTTAGACGTTACAGTTTCGATATAAAAACTGAATTATGTTCGAGAAGCAAAATTTCGCATTTTTAGCCCAGGTTTAAAGCCAAATCAGATGAAAAAATAGTGTAAATAAACAATATAGAATCATGTTATTTAAATGAGTTATGCTCTGTTAAATAATGCGTCTCTAACGTAATCTTGATTACATTTTTAATGATTTCTTTGTGATCATCTTAATAACACTATTTAAATGTTGGAGTTATTATAAACATAGTAAATAATTACAATAATTTCCCAAAGCGTTCTTTATCTCCGTTCACTGGAGCAACGGTTCTTCCGCGTTGAAACCAAACAAAAGTTCATCTGTGTCAAAAATGGAGTAATTTTTAACGAAAATAGCTACAGTTGGGTTGGAAAAAATCGCAAAAATTGTGAATTTTTTGGCTTCTCAGCTGTAGTAGCCATGTTGACACGGGTTTTACGTCACTGGGAAATGGGGTACCTCTGCCACAGGTGGACTTGGTATCGATGGTACGAATTACCTGATGAAGGGCCGTAAGACCATCGACATTGGCAGTGTTTATGTCGGCACCGTTTTCCAAAAGTCTCAAGACTTCATCTTTATCACCCGCGGCGCATGCTGCCAGGAACACACAACCCGACGAAAATTTGATTTTCCGCGAGGTCTGTTTCGGATATACCGGCTCGCGATTCGTGTCCGAGTCCTCCCAACGTTTCAATTGCTCGGCCCTTTTGAAAAGGGCCGAATTTGTACGGGTCTCTAAAGACATGGTTATTTAACACTTCTCACAACGGCCACCATTACGAACTTGTCACCAAACACCTCGGTTGGTGTTTGACAGAGGGTGCGGTTGGCGATAATGAATTTTAAAGCGACATCTCCTGGCGAAAACAAACAACAACAAAAACAGAAAACTGTTACATCAAAAACACACAAATTTGATTTTAAAATGACAATTAAACGAAAAATACAACAAGCATAAAATTAAGCACTTCTAAACTATGAATAAAATAAAGCGTAAAAAAACTAAGCTCAAAATTTATTGTTTTTACATCACAAAGCGCTCCCTGTAAACGTCCTTGGAAACAATTTTTAACGGAAGTTGACCACCGCCATTTTTGGCAGACGCCATCGTGGAAAGAAGCGTTGATGCCGGTTAGTCACTGGTGTTTATTTTCTTAATTTTTCCCTTCATTTTTGCCATAAACACGGAAAACAGTATTATCGCAACTCCTTTTACATAATTTCACCAAAAACTCCAAGTAGGTAAGCAAAAACTACCATTTCTTATCTCCCAAATCGTTACATTTATCCGCCATAAGACTCCAAAAATGCGGCGTAAAATACTTTTACATTACCTAACCTTCAGTCTGTTAAAATCATTTTAATAGATGTGGATTTTCATTTCAGTAAACCATGAGTTACTACAAGCCGAGGTAAGAATGTGTGGCGATTTTGCGAATTGTGTTTCGTAAATCCTGTAAGTTTTGCAATTCCTCACTTTCGGTTGTGTTTGTTTGCAGTTATAGTCAAACAGCGGCCATGACACGTGGTCGTGGTTATTCTCCACGTGGCTACCGTGGGGGTTCGGGAAGAGGAGGTTCATGGGGTGGAGGACGAGGAGGCTATCATAGCCGAGGGGGCGGTGGCAGGAACTTTGATTCGTCATTTTCAGACTCTTTTGACTCCAGGTCCAAGTATGGGGGCTCCAATGAGCGGTATTCCGGACATTCCAGCTCCAGGGGACATGGCGGTCACGACGATTTTCGCAAGCCATATCGGATGGTAAGGGGCTTACGAAATTCGAGAGAAAGTGTCACAAATGTTTGTTATTTAAAGGCATTTAACAATCATTTATGAGCATAATCTAGTCTGTAATAGGTTATATTGGTTTTTTCATCGCAAAAATAATACCACTGGCCGAAAATATGGTAGTCTGTTTTTTATTTAAACGAAAATTATGACTAAATTTTGCTGAGATAATTAGAAGATTAATTTCCATGTCTTGTATTTAAATTTCTATGATTGAATTTGCTAGCTTATTTTCGTTTAAAAACAGACTTCATACATGTATAATGTTGTTTTCCCGCAACAGGGAATAAGGTGACGCTTTATTCTCTCATTTTTGTCTAATAATGTGGTATTTTATTTCCTCGGAAGTAAAATAAATAAAATACCGACTTTTACTTTTAAAGTAAACTAGAATTGAATTTATTAGGAGTTTTTTGACGTAAACAGACTCCTTAATATCAATTTTTACTCTTAAAATTGCAATTGAATAAACTGAATATTTTGACAAATTCATATTTTTTTATTATTAATTAAGTTTGTAGGAAAGTTTTGTATACATCTCTGGAAGAAACACCGTTAATCTATCGAATGAAAATTAACTGCATTTTGGGGAAAATAGTTGTTATTCCCTGGATAAATAAATAACTGTCATTTATTTTATTTATGAAACACCTAATGAAAATGCAATTAATATTGTTTCTTGTCTCTGTGTTACTTGAATAACAACATCGATTTGTATTCGAGCGTCAGAAGAGACAGAAATCAACTCTTGTTTTTCCACAAGTTAATGTGTTTATCATATTTAACTTACTATGAACAAGAAACATTATATAATTTTCCATCATATCTAATTTAGAATAAAATACATGACCACTAAACATTACATTACTTTGCGTTAATTTTTCATAACACTTGTTTGTACCAAAAATGAACTTTGTAAAAATAAACCGTGCAACTAGTTTGTTGCGGTTGTTTATTTTTTATGGTAAAATTAATGAAATCAAACATTTGTTGGAAAATATATTTTTTCTTACAGGATTCAAGTTACTCTGGACGTGATAGTGGTCATCGCTCTCCTGATCGCAAGAGACCTAGAAACGAGGTATGAGAACTTTGATTTTGCATAATTGTTTCACAGGCTAAACCTGGAGAAGACTCAAAACTGTTTCTAATAAAAGAGAGAGTAAAACGAGATAGAGTTTGCCAAAAAGATGTATTTCAAATTGGGAAACGTAATGGTTAAGATCTAGTCTGATGATGTGGAGAGTTTTTAAAGAACAAAAAATTATTCTTCGCTCAATAGATTGAGAGATTTATCAAACGCAGATGCGCTTTAATTTCGTAATAAATTTTCTCGGCAAAGGTTTTGTCTCTGTAATTTGAAGACCCGACGTATTTGATGTCGGGGGATTGATTCCACGGCATCAATCGTTGTGTTACTTAATAAAAGTATCTTGTCCAGGCCCCTAGTTCACGTCACGATAGTTCTTATGGTGGTTATGGATCAAGCACGGGTCGTTATGATTCAAGTTATTCAGAACGAAGAAGTTTTTCGAGTGACCGACATCCTGCATCGTTTTCACGAAGAGATGACTTTCGTAGACCGTCTGGTCCTCCAAGAGGAGGATACAGAGGACGTATCAGTTCTAGAGGCTCACGGGGCCTGAAGCTTAGAGATCGTCCAACACGAAGACGCCTCATTGACAGTTCATATGCCGTGCGTAAACGAATTATACCTTCACGTACATCAGACTACGCCAGGAGACTTAAAATTTCCAAAATGAGGAGGTAAATAAAACGTTTTATACCAAAAAAGAACAAAAGTGGGTAATTTGAATTTGTTATTGTGTAACACTAAAATGTTGTAAACAATGCAATTTTTCTTAAAAAGAAACTCGATGAAGCTGATACCAAGATTTGTGGCCATATCCAGAAGGATAAGGTGTTCGTTTTATTAATTTTATTTGTGAATTAACATTTATAACAGGAGAATTCAAGATACTCTTCAAAAATGCATGGGAATGATTCACTTGTGTTGTTTAGTCACAACGACTTTATTTATTTCATTTGAAAAAATCGCTTTTTACACATCTTTAGCAAAAAGGGAGTTTAATTAGGCACAGATGGCAATACATAAAAACAGTTTGTTTCCTATTAAAGCCTAAAGCGAGACAACTGAGAAGATTTCAAAAAGAAAATCCATAAAATTACCCTAAGATGGCGTGCATTTTGGACCAGATGCAGGAGTATTAATTAAAGTGCACCAGGTTTTTTTTGTAACACTTGATTTGTATATTTTATATAAAATTCAAAATGCGTACAATTTTTTATTGTTTTTTATCTCTTTAGCGCAATAGCCGCTCGTAAGAAACGAGCAAGTGACAAAGAAGATTCCGACGAGGAAAAAGAAGAAAAAGACGAAGATGAGAAAAACGAGGAAGAAGATGAAGAAGACAAGCAAGATAACAATGAAGGTGCAGAAGAGGAAAAGAAACCTACTATTAAAGAAGAACTTTCCGATAAGGAAGACAAGGGTGAACCGGGGGATGAACCCACGATGCGCAAAACTTTTATCAAATTAAATTGTCCTCATTGTGGGATTAAGGCTGTCACTTTCAGAAAGTACGATTTGCACTTGCAGAGTCGAACTCATATGATGGCGATGAGGAAAGTTGCAATTAAGCAAAAATCGATTCTTGCTCAGATGAGACAAGCACAGAGGAATGCTCAGAATGAGTTGGAGAAAACGAGCGATGATTTAGCACCGAGGACTAATTTCTGCCCGTTGTGCAAACTTAATTATAAGCAACGTAAGGCTGTTCATCAAAATTCCGATGCGCATAAAAATATGAAAAAGTTTTTGATGCCATACTGTAAATTGTGTAGTATCACATTTAAGAGTCCTATGATGTATGAGAGTCATTGCTGTTCGATTGAACATTTGAAGAGAAAACAACGCGTCGAAAATGGAGAAAACAGTGATGAATTTGATGATGAGGCCAACCTTGAAAACTTTACAACAATTGATTCAGTTGGTAATGATGGTAAGTTTTTTTTTCTGTCAGTGATTTCTATCGTCTCTGTGTTACTTGAATAACAAAATCGATTTGTATTCGAGCGTCTAAAGAGACGAAAATTAACTCTTGTTTTTCCACAAGTTGTTAATGTGTCTTCATTTTTAACTTACTATAAGCAAGAAACATTGCATATTGTTTTTTTTTTGTGGGTAGTTAATTTTTCTGGATTTGTTTAGGTGACGTGTCTGAAGATGATGAGAAAAAAGACATAAATAAGGAACCTGTGAATGTGGGAATCGAACAGATTCGAAAAGTAGAGGCTTATTATTGTGATCTTTGTAAAATGTACGTGGGTCGCGGTAGCGACGAAATGATTACCCCAATTTTGGCAAGACATTGCAAGCAACGAACACACATGCAAAGGTACATCCGTTACAAAGAAGATAAAGATCTGGAAAAACGTGCGGAGAAGTTACAACGAAAGGAAACAGCAGAGAAGGAAGGTAAAGAGAAACAAGTTAAGGAAAATACTGACGAATCTACGCCGGTAAAAAAAGATGAACCAGAGACTGAAAAAGATGATGAAGCGGCTAATAAAGCTCTAGACGATGAAGAAGCCAGAGACGATAAACTTTGGGCAGATGTCGACAAAGATCTAGACGATATTCTGGCTAAAGAAGGAACGAAAAGTTCAGATGAAGACGAGGACGTAAACGGAGAACGTTACGATAGGTAAATAATTTATTGGTGGAAGATTGAGAGAGAAATTTTTAGTTGCAGATTTAAATACAGTGAAAAGAACGGCGATGAAAAAGTTGACAAGGAAGGTGAAGGAGGTGAAGCCGTCGCTGTCGAAGTGAAAGTTAATGAAGTCGCAGCTGAAAAGTAATTTCCAGTTTTTATAGTGATGTAACGTTTGATCGTATTATGAAGTGACTGTTTAATTTTTATGTGGGAATTTCTTTGTTTGACAAATGTAACTATCATAAAGTTTTGTTTAAAGTTTAATTTTAATTATTTTGCATAACATGTATCTAAAAACTATCGTTAGGGATATTTACACACTTTCATAGTTTTAGAAATGAATCAATTTCAAGACTTGACTATCAAGATGTGAAGCGTAGTGATATTCTACATACCATTAAATAAAAAGAAAAAAAATTGTTCTTAGTTATTAACCTACACCTACCTACATAATTTATATTTAATATCTATCCCACTACTACTACTAGACAACTAGGTATGAAATACTGAGAAATTGGGTATGCACCGCAATCTGAAACTACTTTTTGTATTAATTTTTTAAGTCCATAGATTTTTATCTGGAAATAGAAATAATTTTGTCATTTGCATTATGCAACAATAAAAAAGTTCTGTTATAGTCAGAGCAATTTGATGCAAATTGAATAGCGAGAACGTCAGTTAATTGAATTTTCTTCTATGTAATAAAATATGGATCTCTCCCACAGGAAGCAGACAAAAACGCGTACGTGTCCTTTTGTGCTAAATCAATACAGAGTCCGCCTGTCACTAACTCTATTTTCAGTATTTGCAGTTGAAAAACAAACAAATCAAACCTCCCCGGGACGAACGTGTCTGAAAAAACAATGTTACAGTTCGTAATAGAGTTATGTCCAACATCGCTACCTCTATGTCTGACTGACACGAGGCACCTTCATAACATCATCCAAAACAAACTGGGGAATTTTCACGCGAAAACACCTTTTGTGCACACGAACGAAAAGGCGATTTTCCCTCACGGGGTGGAAATGCTGAGCCGGCAGATCAACGGAGGCGGGTCGAGGGAGCGAACAAGTGAAAATCAGGGCCGGATAACTCAATCAGGGTAGGTTGTGACGGATGTTTTATCAGTATCACACCGACTATAAGTGCAAATTTTACTAACTACCGGCCTGGACGAAACGTGACATTATTGTTTTAGAGATAGAAGAGAAAATTATTCGTGCAATAAAACGGAAACGTGTAATTTTGCGACTATAAAACTGCAGTTATGATTAAATCTTGGAAGCGGAGTCGTAAAACGGGGATCATTCGAAACAATCAAACACATATAAGCTGTTATTTCATATTTTATTATTTAACAATGTTGCGTTTATTACTTTCAGACTTGATTGTTTGATATGAAACACCCAAAGGAAAACTTTTTGGGTTTTTTAGTCAGATGGATAAAGAATGGAAATATTCACGATTTTTTATATTAATCATAATTTCACCGGAAGTTGTCTTTAAAATTATTAACCTACTTAATTTATTAGACGTTATTCTAAAATTCTGTAATTATTAAAGAATTTTCTTATTTATGAACAAAATTTGGTATGTTTTAATAAAACAAAATTAATTCTCTCTACAAATAGGTCACAACTTGTAGCACTTCTGCCTTTGAAAAAGATCTTCTGCCTAATTAGTAGAATTATTTTAACTTTGACAAAGGGTGACAGTATAAATTTTTTGAATCAAGCAAAGACTCGAATTTTGTTTCACAGAGTCGGTCTTGATTTTAAATGTATTTGATCATACGATACAAAAATCTTGAGGTACTTTTGGGGTCTGTATGTATTTTATGAGATTATGGGGCTTTGTTTGTTTTTAGGATTTTTTTTGATACTGATTTTTTCATGCACCCCTTGCTTAGTTAAAGCTACTTTGGGGTGTTCAAATTATATTATACCTACAGGGTGTAACGAAAAGATGGGGATAAAGAGTAACCTGAGGTCAAAATAAAGCGCTTAATCTAACTTACCTCTATACCAAATTGCACGGTTTAAAAGTAAGTGGGCACCAAAGTTTAAAAAATATTTTCGTTTTTCCTTATAACTTTTTAATGGATTCATCGGTTTTTATGACATTTGGTACAAGCAATTTGATATCAAAACCACATATTTTGGTGATATTTTTCGGATTTTATTATTATTGTGTAAAGTACTACCTTATATTTTTGTTATACGTAATCCGAGCGCCGCAATTTTTTTTGTTCAAAAGGTACATTATTTTTAAATATTTTTTTTTAATCTTAGTTATAAAATTTTTGGGTCGTTCTCGGTTTTAGAGTAAAAAAATAATTTAAGTGTTAAAATTTTGGACGTTGGACATTTATTATTATTGCTTTTAAAATTGTATTAATTTTTTTTTAGGTTTCAGTGTCTTTATGTATATTTGTATTAGTTGACAATAATGTAATTAATTATTAATTTATACAAAATGAAATCATAATCATTGCCGTCTTTTAACTTTTAAACGGTGCACTTGGTATAGAGGTAAGTTGGGCTAAATCGCTTTATTTTGACCTAGGGAATCTCAGGTTATTTTTTGTTTCCATCTGTTCGTTACACCCTGTATACAGGTTGTCACGCGAGAAAGTGCTAATATTTTAACCATACATTCACCATTAAAAATAAATTGATACGTATTCTTTATTTTTGTCTTAAACTATTTATTTTTTGTAGATTTTATATTAAATACTTACTTTATTTTTATAAAATTTGGTATACAGTCTTTATTTTTTTAGATCATTTAACAGTGCCTCTTGACATACATTTTTTCATAACTTTGTAGCAAAAATCATGGCTTTGACGTTACTAGAGTTTGAAAGCCCATTCAATTTAGAAACTTTTTTGTTTCTTGTTAATTCTTCGTAAAATGCACTGTTTTTGAGTAAAATAATATATATAAAAATATGAAAATGATACAGTCAATACCAACACGGATACGGCTTTAACTTCAAACCTGTCAAATGTGCAAATATTATTTTCAATTTTCGTTTTAAAACTTTATTATTTATTTTTATTGTGGTTTTTTTCGTTATGCTTTCCCATTTTCCAAACGAGTAACAATTTAATAATTGGGTAAGCGCTTCATTTCATTCAGTACCTACAAGAACTGTTTTTATTCACCGAAAAATAAATTTTATTCAATTGAACAAGATGAAGCGTCATTAATTAATTGTAATCAAAAGTCAGATTAACTGATCATGTGACCAAATTGAACCAACCAATAACCATTAACTTATAACAACGAATTAATTGTTAATTCGCCTTCTACAAACCGACCTTTTATCTAATGTAAAGTTTATTATACATCAGGGTAATTCGTGTCGGCCCAACTCTCGAATAGTGATAGAAGACTTTCAGCTTAGCACAAGAGAGAATGCAGATTTTTTTTCATGCCTTTTTTTAAGAAGATAAAAACAGAACTGTCAATTTCCATATTATCATGTAGACTCTTTTATCATCTTAGCTCTTTAATTTATTAATTTATTGTTGAATTTGCTAGTTTGTCAAATGTTTTGTACACCATAAGTCACCATAAATTTCCGCTAACTAAATTTAAGAAAACGTGATCTGAACTTAACTCAAAATCTAATCTCTGAAGAGCTATATCTCGTGAAAAAAGACTCAAACGTTTTTTTGTCATGGCAACTTTTAAGTCGGTTGAGAGATGGTCCGACACTTTTGAATCACCCTGTATTTTTTTTTATATATCTAACAACCCAAAAATACTGAATATAGTGAGAGTTTCATTCGAGCTATTTTGCCTACAAAACCATTTTATTTGTAGATGTTTTGCTTTTCTTTGACTCTAACACAATGTCTACATATTCTAAATTCAATTTGATTCCACATTATCTGAAACACAGTAATAGGATAAAACAAAAACTCAGAAATAGTGGGGAAAGATAGAAGGTAGGATGTAAACACGCCACGCCTACACAAGCACCAATCGACGATGAGAAAGCGGTCAGAACAAAACGATTGATAAAATCTACCGCTTTAGTACAAAGTTACACTTAAAAACTGCAACTGCACTCATATTTCTGCCTAATGACTCCAAGTTGCCAGGGATTTTTTCAAACACCAGCCTTGGGAGTAAGAAAAATAAAATTTATCTGAAACATGGAATGGCGAATCACTTTAATCAATAACAAATGGAAAAAATTGGTGTCTTGATGGCCTCATTCGTCATCGTTGGAACTTTGTAAACGAGTTAATAGTGTCGTCAACCCTTATTTTGATAACATCATGCTTAGACCTTTAGTAAATGCGTAATAATATAATTACGCACAGGCGACCGCTCGTCGGTAATCACATAACCATATCAATTGATGCCTAATAACATCCTCTAGTGTGGGGAACTCGTGCTGTAATGACAAACCTTAGCCGGGGACCTTGATCGACTATTGTCCCCGTCATTGTACGCCCCCATACATGATGCACCAAATTACACCCTCCTTTGCATCATACGTGGACTCACAACTGCGAGGGAGGTCTTGTTGTGACAATTATAATTTCTTTTATTTATTTATCAGTCCCTTGATGTGGCGAAAAATTCGCGGTATCGTAACTCGATTATCAACAGAGATTGCAGAGTAACCGCAAGGGGTTATTTCATGACGCTTTATTCAACAATACAAAATGTTTTGGAGGCTACAATTGTACATTTCGGAAATCTTGTTTTTTGGGTGAACTACCTAGGCATACAGGATGCGACAGAACTCGCGCCCTGAAGGAAAATTCCATGTAAGGTAAGAAATCAGGAACATGGAAAAAATGTTAAAAAATTCTATCTATAAAAATTTTGAAGTTATGAGAGTTTAAATTTTGCACTTTGACTCTTTTTATTTCCAATTTTCCAAGTTTTTTTGCCACAGGCTAGAAGAAGAGGAAACAAGGAAGCTGTATCCTAAATTGTAACTCTCTTTAATGTTATTTGTGGCTTTTATTGCTAACATTTGTATACCTTTACTAAATAATTATGAAGAAACATACAGGTAGTTCGGTCCAAGTCGCCCCGGCTGATAACACCTAAACTTACTTCTTTTTTTCAAAAAGTAAATATTTAAGTAATAATATTCATTCTTGGCTTTCTTAATAAATGTATTAAATTTTTTTAGCACATCCGGTGTTGCTGGAAATGATACCAAATTTAGTTTTTCAAATGGAACACCTATGTTTTTTTTCCTCCAAACTATAATAATTGACATGAAAAATACTGTAAACCACTATTTATTACATTTTGCGTAACACAATGCAATCAGAAAACATCTTAAATCTTAGAATTTTATAAGGAAATTGGTCGCGTAGCCTGATTTTTAATTTTCAAACAAAGGTGTGAATAAAAAAAAATGCTTGGATACAGTTTAATTGTT